AGAAGGTGCGTGACTTGCAGGGAAAAGCAATGCTGACGCTAGAACCCGGGTATCCAGATTCCACTAGAGGAGACGGTACTGCCTAGAATTTTCACAAAAGGGCTTTGCTCCCTTGAGAGGCTTCTGCAACTAGAAAGTTATGATTCTGAACTTTTAACCTATCTTCCTACTTATCTGATACGCTTGCCTACCCAAATGGGGGGCATCCTCCCTACTCCTGTAGAAAATTCTGTTCTCTCTTCTTAACCCAGGTCTCTGGGATTTGGAAGTGAACTGTTATCCCAACCTGTCCCTTAAGATATACCATAAAAAAAAGTCCCTGGCAACTGGGAGGCAGTCTGGTGGAAAAAGTTGTGTTTGTCATCTGGCAATGAACAAAACTTGACTCAAAGGTATATGATCAATGGGTAACTCCCTCCTCTCCACCATCTTTAAAATAGAGATTACCCTCCCCCTCTCAGGCTACATTCTTAGATATCTGGATAGTAGAACTACTGAGATTGAAGTAAGAATGGATTGTAGAAATCAAAGCCTTCCCTAAGATTTCTGCAAATTCCTGAGGGATTTATGTTCCGAATCTCTCTGCCTCAAGAGCTCCAGCCTCTGCCATGCTGTTGGAGTCACACAGTTCAGAAATGCAGAGATGAAACAGCCCTTCCGGAGGACTGCCCGTACCTCTTCCCACACAAGACATTCATGGATATAGATGTTATGATGCTCTGGGCCCTGGGACAGTGTCACATCATGCATTGCAAATAGTTTAAATTCACAAATCAGACATTCTTTTAAAGTTCTTTCCATGCCTGCCCCCCCACCCCAACCTTGAGGTTTTCTCACTGAGTCTTCACCCCTTAAGGCCTGGTCTTTTCCCAAATTACTACCTCTCCTCCCTGCCCACCTTTTCTTTCCTCTATTTCAGCATCTCCAGAGAACAAACAAATTCTTATGGCTTTCCAGGCAGAGACATCTTAACCATATCTCTGCATTGCTGGGTTCCTGCTAACACTCATGCCCTGAAGATTTCACTTTCTCCCCCTGAGAGGCTAATTTCCCCTGATAAAGGCTGTTTCTTCCCTAAAAGAAATTCTGGGAGCACTCTTGAGACATGATATTTTTTGCCTCATTTCATTTTTATGTTAAAAAGGATATGTATACACATATATTTCATTTTTACATTAAAAGGGATATATATTCCTTTTTTTTACTTAAATCAGTTAATTTCTGTTAATGTGACTCAAAAACTCAGACTAATACAGCCTCCCCAAATCTTCATTTTGACTAGATTTGCCCACAGGCGCAGCTCAAAGTGAGGAAATTTGTTCTCTGCCAAGCCTCTACAATGCTTTTCAGACTAGCCAGAGATCTCAACTACCAAAACCTGCTCTGATGCCCAATTACAGTGTAACTGAACAATACTGACAGTGTGGAGTAAGGCTAGACCTGCTTTGAATTAGATTCTATCTCCCCGATAGCCATTTCAAGCTCCAGCCAGCAGGTAGAGTCCTCCTTAGCCTCCTGAAATCAGCCTTCTCAGCATGCCCCTCCCTCCCCATCTCACCTACAGCAGGGGCCAGAGAGGCAACTTTCAGCTGGCACCTCTTTGGCCTAGGTGGGCCAAAGGACACTGGGCTTGAGGAAGAGGCACCTTGCATACTCTGGCAGCAGTTTGCAAAAGCCTCTTGCACTATAGCCAGTAGCCCCACCTCCCCAACCCTCAGAGGGGTGACCTGGGGCTACAGTGGCTGCACTTTCCACGTGGCCCCCAGGTTTATGGGTATCTCTCAGGGCATCAGAGATTGGATACACTCTCCTTTGTCCAGAATGTTGGAAAGGACAAAGGAGTTATTTTCTAACCCTGGAAGTAAAAGACTGCAAACTATCTTCTCCTGCCCGCTAATAATGTCCTTCAGGACTGAAAGCATCTCCTGCCAGTCCCAATGTGGATTCAGGGTGGCCTTTCCTTTCACTATTTCACACCACAACCAGCAATGCCTCCTGTGTCCCATCACAGAACATTCAAAATCTTGGAATGGACCCCATTTACAGATGAGGAAACTGAGGTTTAGGTGTTGGTTGCCTCAAGTCTAAACTCTACTTAGCTTCCATGAATGTCTCTAAACAGGTCTCATTCACCTTTCTAGTCATAATAGTCTGCAAAATGTTTGTCCCTCTACTCCTAAAAGAATATAAGAACTAATGTAGCTCCTTGCACATTTTTAAGGTGACGTCTAATATTTTTCATCATTAGTTTAAAACTTAATGGTTGCAGAGGATGGATGTAATTTCTGCTATTTTATAAACATTAACATTTTAATACAGAACTACTATATTACCCTTTTAAATGTATTGAATAAGGCTCAAACCTCATAGTGATTTTTGATGCTTACCATCATCCATCTTAAAAATACACGAATAAGCTCTTCTTCAGCAATAAAAAATTTTACATTGTCTCTTTTTCTCCTTGTACTTGTGTTTCTATTCCACTTTGCCCTCAAAAATCTAATCTTTTTTAAATTGAAGTATAGTTAATTTACAGTGTTGTGTTAGTCAAAAATCTAATCTTAATGTAACGTGTTTTTATGCTTTTATGCTTATGCTCTTTTATTGATCACCATATCCTACATCTCTGCAACCAAAATATGTATGTAAGTTGAAATTACAAATTTTCTTCTGGTTTGAGTGGCCATTATAAGTATTAGCAATACCCAATTGAGCAAAACAACATAAATATTATGATTTTTATAAGTATTAAACATAACCCCCCAAAATACATTGGAAGTATTTCTTAATGAAATAGTTAGGCTACTTTTCCCCCAGGTAGTTCATATCTTCGTAGTTAAGTATTACTTATGGCTAGAATGAGACTACTTTCAACGTCAACTGTAGTCCTAGTTTTTCATTTCTAAGCTGAGAAACCTTGTTCACATAAATAAGTAGATGAGAACTGAGAGAGTTTTGATATCGCAATGGCATCTGACTCTGTTATTTGCCATGAAAAATCACAGAGATCTATTATTAAATTGTGTTAATGATTTTTTTTCAGCTGACAATGCAATTAAATCCTTCCAGATTTTGAAAGCAAAGATTTGGAAACCTGCTGACTTGAAAACAAAGGGAATTTGTTGTCTGGCTTTTGAGGCTTTCCCTTTCTCAGCTCCCACAGTCCTACACCAGCATTTCGAATTGTTGCTTTGTTTAATGTTCCAGGAATTTGACCCCTCTTGGTAGTCCACTCCAAAAGATACGGGGTTGGTGAGTGGTGAACCTTGCGACTAAAAGTAGAGAAGGTGAAACTGTGAAGGAAGAAAGCAGTTATGGTAAAGAGAACACTTGGAAGTTAAGGATCTGTGAATCAATTTTCTTACAACTCCTCATACCCTAGAGATACCCCGACTCCAATTAGAGAACCACTGGTCTTAATGTTTTTCTCACGTTCTCTACTCTCTTATTGAAAATTTTAAGGGCCGTCTTGAATCCCAACTCCTACCTAACACTTCATTTTTTCTGAATTCCTACCATATATTGAATTTGAACCTCACTTCCCATCCCTGAGATGTGCATTGTGTTATACTGGTAGCTTTGTTCCATGACACTTTAAATGGACTGTAATGAAGTTCCTTGCAATGGAGTTTGGTGTATTTGCAAAAGACATGAACTTTGATATCAGATAGGGTATAAGCCCTAGGAGGACAAGGACTCCATCTGTTTTGTTCTGTGCCATAGTCAACACCTAGTCCAATACCTGGCATATAATAATAGCTTAACAAATAATTTGCTGAATGAATGTATTTGAGTTAGAATCTTAGCTACTTCATCACTTAGTTGTGTGATACCCAGTCACTCATTTTAGAATTTATTCAACAAATATTTGTTTCATGCCTGCTAAAAGCCAAGCATGGTGCTAGCCACTGGGGACATAAGTTGACAAAAATATGTCCTTGCCCTCAAGGAACTCAAACATCTGGTTATGGAGGCTGTTATGTGAAGGGAGGTGGAAAGAACAGCCAGTGTGCAGATCCAAACGGAGGAAAAGGAGGGAGCTACTAGTAAATCTATAAAGCAGAGGCATAGGAGGCTCTCCTGGGCCTTGTATGCCACATATGGGAATGTGAACTTGACTGTTCTGGGTACCACTGAGAGACTGGAAAGTGGAAAGAGTCAGGGAAAGGTCTGCATTTTAGAAAGCCTACAGGCAGCTGTTAGGAGAAGGGTTAGCAAGGAGACCTGATTTTGGCTGTAATCCAGTTGGGAGGTGACGAGGGCCAGAGTAAGGCACTGGCCATGAGATATGGCCCCAAAGGAGTATATTTGAGAGTGACCAAGAAAATCCAATCAATTGGACTTGGAGACTGATTAGATATGGGGCAAGATGGAGAAGGAGTCAAAGGCCCTAGCCGTGTCATTAGCCATGGGGATGGAGACAGAGGGATAGGTATGAGGGTATGAAGGAGAGAGAATCTACTGGGTTGAATGATGGGTTTTGCATGAGGGGGATGAGAGGGAGGGAGTAAGTCATCCTTGATTCCCAGATCTCTGTCTTAGGTAACAAGATAGGTAAGTCAGACATTATGGGAAGAGAAGCAAGTTTGGAAGGTTTTGGGCAAGTTGCTTGACCTCTCTGAGCCTGAATTTTCCCAGATATAAAATGAGAATAATAATACCCACCTCTCAGGGTTGCCATGAGAATTAAATTGCAGGGCATAGCATATATGCTCAATAAACACTTTTGGGTGATACCAATAATAGTGCCTGCTCATGTGTCAAGCACTTACTCCCCACAACAACCCTATAAAGTAGGTACTATTATCCCTATTTTACCAATGTGGGAACTGAAGCAGAGAGAGGTGAAGAAACTTGACCAAGGTTACCCAGTTGGTAAGTGACAAAATGTACTTTTCTAGCCACTGCATTATATCTTATTCCTTCTGGGACCTATAACTGGACTTGAGGGAGGAAGAGAGACAATGACAGGAGAAATAGACAACAGACCTGGTCAATAATTTATACCAAGAGCAGTTTTTATTTAGAAATGTGCCTTCACAACTTGGAAGCAATCTAGGGACAGATGGCCCATGGCTTGCTTGTTTACTCTCTTTCCCAGCCCAGGGTGTAGGGCCCTTGGGGTTAAGGCACTGGATCAAGTTCTTAAGGACCAACATCCCAGACAGCCTCAGTGGTCTGGGGCCTGGGGCTGGTGCAAAAATGAACCAGGTTCCATCTTGGACTATTTCATGGTCAGAGGGCATGGTCCCTTGGCACCAGGATTTCAGCTCCTTCTGCAGGGGCTGGTGTTACTCACAGGCCAGCTGTGGCCAGGTCCTAGTAGGCATGAGGTCAGGGGGAAGAGAGGCTAGCAGAGGTTAATTTTCTGGTGCTGGGTCCAGTTTTTCTTCCTGAGCGGTGGAAGCCGAGATGGGAGCCTCATCCCCACCATTGAGGGACTTCTGCTGCTCACTGCTGCTCGGTGAGGGGGTTCTGTCACTGCGGGATCCCCAGCGGGTCAGGCGCTTTAGGGAGGAGTCACGGCGGGCAAGTAGAGGGGGCTGGAAGCCTGTGAAGGAGCTGCTGGTGGTGGGACGCTTGTCTGGCAGAAGAAAGGCAGATATGAATAAGGAGCAAGGTGCAAGCAAAGGGGAGAAGTTGAGTGGCCTTGTCTCTGTCCTTGGGGGAGACGAGAACCCCTTGACCTTCAGTCCTGTGCTGGTTCTGTACATCTGGAGGTATCCCTTCCTCCCTCCCTTGCCCAGTCCAGGGCAAGCTCCAGGGTCTAACCCTTCTCACCTCCAGGTTTGATTGGATGCATGAGCCGGTTCATCTGGACATTCCAGTGTTTCACATTGGTACTGGCCTGGCGCAGCTTCCGCTGGGCAGCCTGTGGGGGCAGGATGAGTGAGGAGTGGGCCAGAGCCACCATCCAAGACAGGGTGTCTTGACCTTTTCAGGTTCACAGGCCTCTTCGAATCTGACAAAGTCTACTGGTCATCTCCCCAGAAAAACACATGTATGTTCATAAAGAGTTATGTATAGGAACAGAGTTGGCATCCAATTTCAAGGGACTCAAAGACCCTCAAAGGGTCAAAAATAATCATAATTATAGTTTCCACTTATTAAGCAGCTCAGATGGGCTAATAACTCATTTAACTTCCAGAGTAAAAGTTAACAGCAAACAAGTTCAAAAGAGGTGAAGTAACTTGCCCAGGGGCACACATGGAGCTCTAAACCAGTGTATCACACCACCTCTCCAGCACCTAATGCAAAAACCTCTGCTCCAGTGTTCATCCAGCCATTAGCAGTGGTTGGGGAGTGGGGAATCATAGAGAAACTTTTCCTTTCTATGATCCATATTTCTGTGTTCGAATTTTTTACCATGACCATGTATGCCAACAAAGCAAAATAAAATAATCAATATTAATAAAAACAGAACAGCAAGAGTTAAAAAAAAAGACCCTCTTCCATGGAAATTCAGGCTCCAAGGAGTAGAGCCAAAGTACAGGGATAGCAAAGTAGGGGCTGGAAGAATAGGAGGAAAAATTTTGCCCAGGTTAATAACAACGACAAAATGGCAGCTGGTGTTTCTTCAGTGCTTGCTGTATACTAAATAGCATGTGTTATCTTGTTTAATCTTCACAACAATGTTATTTTCAATCTCCTTTCCTGGATGAGGGACTGGAAACTCAGAGAGGTTAGGCAATTTGTCCTAGGACACACAGCCAGGTAATGATAGAGCCAGGGTTTGAGGGAAGGTTCCAGAGTCTGTGCTTTGACATGTTCAACCTGCCAGCCTCCATCCTATCCCACCTCAGGCCTCACCTCCACGTCCTCATCAGCCCTCTGCCGGTTCTGCCGCACCTCCTCCAGCTGCTGCTGGGCCTGCTGCAGGGTGCGGCTCTGCAGTGCCATCTCCTGCTGCAGCTCTTGCTTCTCCTGCTGCGCCCGCTCGATGTAACGCTCCTGTTCTTCCTTCAGCTGCATTAGCTGCTTCAACTTCTCCTCTTCCTCCTCCAGCAGTCTGCCGTGAGTGCACTGTGTCACCTCCAGAGCCATGGCACCTGGCAGGTGCTCAGCAAGCGGAAGGGTGGGGGTGTCAGGGAGGAGAACCAGAAGGGGTCCCTCAGTCCTACCTGGTCTGTGCTAGGCGCACAGCCTCTTCATCCCGCCGAGCTTTCACCTCCAAATGCAGGGCCTCCTGAAGCCTCAGCTGCATCTCCTCCAGCTCCTTGATGCGCTGCTGCTGCCGGGCAGCCTCCTCCTTCTTCAGCTCCATCTCAGCCTGCATGGAAGCCCGGGCCTGCTCGGGGGATGCAGAGCCAGGTCAACGGGGGCATGGGGGAGGGAGGCGGCAGGTATGCCGCCCTTTCTCCAGGGATTTGTTAGGTCATCCTAACTAGTTATCTCCAGGTGAGGGTCTGGGAAGTTCTTTCATGTAAGGGTTTCTTTATCTGATCCCCTTCTGAAAGCCTGATTAGGTCACATAGTGATCAGTGAACTACATGTTGCACGGGGGAAAGGGGCTCAAGTCATCCCTTTCCTGGCATTGGCCTTAATAGTTACTATTATATATTATAATAGAATGCATTATAATTATAATTAAGGCTAGTGCTAGGAAGGGAGTGACTATAATTATAATTGTTTTAACATTTATAACTCAGAGTGTTTCCTTGTTTGATCCTCTCCATATTTCTATAAGCAAAGTTATATTGCCATCAACATGTCACAGGTAACTGAGGCATAGAAAGGCTAGGATACTTGCCTGAGATCACAGGGTTCCTAAGAGGCAGAGCTGGGATTGAATCCCCAGTGTCTCTGATTCCAGATCTAGATCTCTTAAACCCTAAATCTAATTGCCTTTACACACCTAGTCCGCCTCCACATTCGTCCTACCTTCCTCCCATCCTGCATTCCTCAAACTGGTTTCATTATAAACTCAGATCAAGTCTAGTCCAACCTAGTCCAGCCTTGGGTCAAACTCATTCCCAATCATGCTCCTCTGTCCAAGCCCCGTTCCCAGTCAAGGTCTCCGAACCAGGCCTCATTCTATACCTAGCACTCAGCTCCGGGACCCCCAGTTCATAGGCTCAGGCCCATCCCCACACCATCTCTCCTCTCAAGCCATCCCTCGGCCAGGTTCCTTATCCCATAGGTCCCGTCCCTGGCACAGTCCGGATCCACGTCCATCTTTGAAGCCCACAGGCTCTGTCCCCAAAGTCCCTCTTTCCAAGCCTCGCCTCCCTCGCATCTCTCCACATCCATTCGTCGGTGTGTGGCTCCGCCCGTGGCCCCGGCCCCGCCCCCGCCCCCTCGCCCGTGCTCTGCATCCAGCCCTGGCCTCACCTTAGCCCTCAGCCCACCGCCTCCACCCCGGGTGCGGCCCCACCTGCTCCGCCTCGCGCAACTGGCCCTCGAGTGCCTGTTGCAACTCGCGGTGCTGGCTTCGGCGCCGCTCCTCCTCCTCCTGCAGCAGGCGCTCGGCCTGCCGCTGCGCCTCCTGCAGCAGCTCCAGCTCCTGCAGCTTTCGCTCCTTCTCCTCCTGTAGCTGCTGCAGCCGCAGCATCTCCTCCTCCTTGGCCGCCCGGCGCCGCTCCCGCTGCTCCCGCTGCTCACGTCGCTTCTGCTTCAGGTCTTTGTGCAGCGAAGTCTTCCCCTCGGCCTGCAGCCGGATCGCCGTCTGGATGGCTGAGGGGGGAGCGGGAGGTGGTCAGCCGGAGCTAGCCTGGGACAGGGGAGCCTCGATGTGGCCTACCGCCGAAAGGGGCCTTAGGAGTTGCTTAGAAGTCCCGTCTCCAGCCTCCCGCTGGGCACAGTGCATCACCACCTTTTCACAGACTGAGGCCCTTCCAGATCCAGGCCACCCAGCCAGCACTCACCAGCTGTCCACTCCTGGCGCTGGCGCGTGTCTGACGCGCTCATCTCGTACGTGCGGGAGGCCGTCTTCACGCAGAACATGCAGCGCTTCCCCTCTCGGTCTGGCAGCACCTGGCAGAGGGCAGGCGGCCCCAGACAGGCTGGCTTCACTGGGGTCAGGGCCACACCCGTCCCAGGGGTACTCCAGCTCAAGCCCCTACCCCTCCTGGCTGACCATCTTCCCTGGGCACCCCTCCCGCTCTGCCAGGTGCCTGTGCAGCCTGATTTGGAGGTTAATTATGGGGATAATTGTATCCCCACAACTCGTGTAGCCTTTGCTCTCTGAAGGTGGGGCTGATGTCCTCTTGGTATTTCTCCATGGAGCCTAGCACATAGCAGCCACTCAGTGTGCAGATCATGCTTGAACATCTCCAGTGACAGGGTCCTCAGTATTGAGACCACTCATTTGCACATAGCCCTGTCTGTTGAGAAAGTTCTGAACTCATTCATTCCACAGATATTTTGTAATGTCCACTGAGCACCACTCCTTGCTCTCGGCATTTGGGATACTGAGGTGTGCCTAACAGAAAAAATCCCTGCCTTTCCTAAGCTTACAGTCTAGTGGAAAATAATAGCTACTGAGCTTCATGTGTTCTAGAGTCTGTTCCAGGCAGGGATTATTAGCTCCATTTTACAGAGAAAGAAACTGAGGCTTTAAGAGGTCCAGGAGCGTGCCCAATTCATACTGCCTGTTAGAAATGGAACTGGATTTCTGCCTAGATATGTGCTCTTTCCACAATGACACCTGTCTCCTTATGTGACAAAAATGGACAGAGCCTAGGATGGCTATAATAATAATGTTTTTAAATGTAAAATACCAAGTGTTGGTGAGGATGTGGAGAAATTGGAAATTTCATACAGTACTGTTGAGAATGTAAGATGGTACAGCCACTATAAAAAACAGATTGGCTGTCCCTCAAAAAAGTTAAACAGAAAAATGAACAGATAAACAAAATATGGTATATCCTTACAATGGAATATTATTCAGTCATTAAAAGGACTGAAGTCCTGATTCATAACACAACATGCTTGAAAACATTATGCTAAGTGAAAGAAGCCAGCAGAGAAGGACAAATATTGTATGATTCAACTTATATGAGGCACCTAGAATAGGCAAATTTATGGAGACAGAAAGCAGAATAGAGGATATCAGGGGCTGGGAGGAAGGGAGGATGAGTTATTGCTTATTGGGCACAGAGTTTCTGTTTGGGATGATAAAAAAAAGTTTTGGAAATAAATAGTGGTGATGGTTACACATGAAGGTACTTAATGCTACTGAATTGTGACACTTAAAATGGTTAAAATGGCAAATTTCATGTTACATATATATTTTTACTTAAACTTTAAAAATTGTTATTTTAAGCCTCTGAAATAATGGGCAGAGCCAAGAGAAGAGAAGGGATGGGAAGGGAGAGAAGAGGGGTGTGGAGAAAGAACATGGAAGTATAGAGTTGCCAAAGGGAATGGAATTTAGGTGAAGGAGAAATAACTTTAAAGAGGATTTTTAGAAAGCTTTGTAGGGTAGCGTGGCATAAATCATCTCTTCTGAAATTTTTAGCAAAATCCACATTATTCACCAACAACTTTAGTATTTGATTTGCAGTTTGAGTTTTTTATAAAGTGTTGACATATGGAATCTAAAAAACAAAACAAATGAACAAACAAAACATAAACAGAGTTGTAGATACAGAGAACAAATCATTGTTTGCTAGAGGGTAGGGGGCTAGGGAGAGGAAAGAAATAGGTGAGGAAGATTAAGATGTACAGACTTCCAGTTGCAAAATAGGTGAGTCACCATTATGAAATGTACAGTGTGGGGAATATAGTTAATAACTATGGTTACACAGTTGTCTTTGCGTGGTAACATATCATAACTAGACCTATCATGGTGATCAGTTTGAAATATACAGAAATATAGAATCATCATGTTGTGTAACAGGAACTAACAGAGTATTATAGGTCAATTATACTTCAAAAATAAATTTATAGAAAAAGATTCGATTTGTGGTTATCAGAGGTGGGGGAGCTGGAGGGTGGAGAAGGGGAAATTGGATGAAGGTAGTATAAAGGTAGAAACTTCCAAATATAAGATAAAAGTACTAGGAATGTACTGTTACACATGATAAATGTAATTAACACTGCTGTATGTTATGTATGAAAGGTGTTAAGAGAGTAAATCATAAGATTTCTCATCACAAGAAAAACATTTTTTCTATTTAATTTTTTACCTATCTGAGCTGATGAATGTTCACTTATGGATGTAAACTTATTGTGCTAATCACTTTATAATGTATGTAGGTTGAATCATTATGCTGTACACCTTAAACTTATATAGTACTGTATGTCAATTATATCTCAATAAAACTGGAAGAAAAAAATAAACTGTTACTTTTCTAAAATAAAAAAAATAAGTGTGACAACTGACATGGCTGAGAATGGCCTTGAGACACCCAGGTGTGCAACTGACCCTTAAACAACACAGGGGTTAGGGGTGCCAAAACTCTGCCCAGTTGAAAATCCACATATAATTTTAAAGTCAGCCCTCAGTATCCTGGTTCCACATCTGCAGATTCAACCAGCTGCAGATAGTGTAGTACTCCTGTATGTATTTATTGAAAAAATCTGCTTATACGTGGACCCACAAAGTTCCAACCCATGTTGTTCAAGGGTCAACTTGAACAATTCGGGTTATACTCATCTAAGCAGAAATTTGTCACTGTGGCTTTTCCCGCTTGCCCTCCTCCAGACCCCCTTGCCTTCACTCTACACTGGAGACCTTCTGGGCCTTGAGAGGGGCTCTACCCCTTCACCTGTTCCCCTCACCTCCACGCAGCACTGTGCATCCAGTGGGATGGTACCCCTTTTCTCCTTGCAGTCTTCACTCCCAAAATAGCAGAGGCAGCTGGGCTGCAGCTGGAACCAGCGTTCTGCCCAGTTCCTCCTCAGGTGCCCTCGTTTCCACAGGTAGCCCTGCCAGCCAGAGCAAAGTCAGAGGCATCACTGTCCCCTACTTTGCCTCTTCTGGGGGTCCTCCCCTGGTTCCCAACATGGCCTAACCTGCTTCAGGACATCTTGAATGAGCTCCTGGTAGACCTCGTGGATGGCCATGCTGAGGGTGTCCCGCCCCACACCTCGCAGACAGCGACCTGAGTTGAAGAGCTCCAGGAACTGCCAGACGCTGAGCCCGCCAGTGGTCTGGGCTGCCTGGGCCTCCTGGGCCAGCAGCTCCTCCAGCTCACCCAAGCCCACCTCCAAGCTCATGCTGCTGAGTACCTTCTTCAGCAGGTATTCAACCTGGATGGGGAGGGAAGACCTAGTGGCTGCAGCAGGCAGGGGTGCCAGTCCCAACACCAGGGGGCACTCCCATCAGGCTCCTAGAGCCTTGGCAGAGGTGACTAGCGGTTGGGTTGGGGGGTGGGCAGAGGCCTAAATGCCGGTGGACACTTGGGTAGAGATTTGGGAGGGGATCCCAGAGCCCCAGCCTCAATTCAGGAGTCTCCTCCCCAACCTCCAGTCCCATTCCTTCCTGCCTCAAATTAAAAGCAGGGTGAGATGGGAGCTAAAGGCCAGGAAGGGGCAACAAATCTTAGCAAATGTCAGAGGGGGTACAATGGCCCTCTCATCCAATATCCTCATTTTGCAGAAGATAAAACTGAGGCTCAAAGGGAGACTTGCCCTGAATCATAAAGCAAGTTGGCAGTAGCCAGAACTCCACTCAGATCTGCATCCCATTTGAATCCTTATTCCAAGCCCCAAGCCCTAACCCTGGGGATCCTTCCCCTGTGGGAGGGCAAAGAGACTGGAGGTGGGAGTAAGCAGGGCGGGGACAGGAAACCGGTCACAGAGGAACAGGAAGTGGTGGTTGGGGTACATCCTGCTGCAGTTTGTTCACACTGCGTGTTGATCACAGCAGCAAGCAGCTTTCTGGCCTCTGAGAGGCCACCTTGCCCTGACTGGCAGGGGTCTGACAGAAGCGCTTAGCCAAGTGTCTGATAGACACAAGTCCCTCTACTGCCCCTTCTTGGGAAACTCTCTCCAGGACTTTCAGTCTGGGGGTTCCTGGGTCTCAGCCAGGAGTGGTGGGGCACACCAGTTCAGGACTCAGGTGGCTCCTCTAACTCTTCCCACAAACGGAAGCAAGGACATGAATCTGAGCGCAGATGGATGACATGCCAGGATTTCTTGTAAATACAGCGGACCTCTCTCGCGTGTACCCTACTCTAAAGACCTAAATTCACCCTGGAGTCTTCACAGCCACCATGAGGGTTAAAGGGGCAGGAGAGGGCTGAATGAACAGAGGACGGGGGCAAACAGAGGGAGGGTGCAGGCTGACTGGAGACAGGGGGGCAGGGATCTGCTCTGGCTTCACCCATGAGTAGAGGACGCAGGGGCTGAATTCTAGGCTTCTACTCCCAGGATGCCCTCTCTGGGGCCCTGAGCTGAGTCTGCCCTGGCTCTCCCATATGTAGGAGAAGTAGGAAGGGAAAATCTGGAACCAGGCCCAGGCTTGGTTGCCCACCAGAAGTAACTGGAGAGATGTCCCAGGGAGGTCTCCATTCCCCTAATATAGCATCCTTCTCAGACTGCCATAGTGTCTAAAATCCTGCCATTTGATTTTAAATGTTTTCATTTTTAAATGCCCAGTAATATATCAGGCATTTACACCTCTCTATAAATAGAATTTGCAGATCATTTTCCTACTGGGAGGGCTAGCAGAGTGCTGAAAAGGTATAGCTTTGGACCTCTTTGGAGGAGGTATAATTGCTCTGATATAGGCAGTTCTAAGCATCTGGAGATAGCTGGGTGTGAACAGGTACTGGCAGGGGGAGACAAAGAAAGGGGATGTGGGAAAGTACACAAGGTAATTTGGTCTCGTTCACGGTTTTGCTGAGGCCTGGCCCCAAGTGATTTAGTCCCTGAATCACTCACCTCATCAGGAACCATGATCAGAGGGTACTTGTCCTCAGACAGGAAGTTGAAGAGACACCAGAGGCGGAAGGCATCCTGATTGGAGAGCATGCTGTTCCCATTGCTATCCACCCGATAGTTCTTCTTGGCCGTCAGGGTCCAGCACAGCTCATCAAAGTGCTCCTTAACGAAAGCCCCCTCCTCCGCCTGCCACCAGGCCTGCAAGTCAGCTGAGAAGGCTGCCCTGTCCCCGCCCTACCACCAAACTAGGCTCCAGCTAGTTTCTTAGGGTCATTTATTCCCCTGCTCCTCACCCTATCAAGTGAGGCTCTACTTGAGGAATCCATGAGTTGCCTACAGGTAACAGTTGGTTCCAACCACCCTACCCCACCTCCACCCCAACACATCCACACCCACCCAAGACCCCTGCTAACAGAGAAACTCTAGTCCCTCAGCCCAGGGGAGAAAGATGGGGAAGCCCAGTGGGGAGTGGACCATCAAGAAGAACCTGAGAAGACAGCGACAACTGGGAGGAGCAGGGGGTACTGCATTAGGGGGAAGCTGGAGACAGGCCTAGGCGGGGATAGGGTGGAAGGTCCTGGGAAAGGCAAAGGCTAAGACAGAGATGAGGGAGACTGAGGGTGTGTTAAGGGGAGCAAGGAGAGGACACGTGGCTGGGATGTAAATGATGGAGACAAGAGAGAGGGATGGACAGAGGAGACAGTAGTGGGGGGCCATAGCGGGAGGAGTTGGGATGGCAATGTGTTGGGGTGCTGGCCAGGTTGGGAAGTAGGGAGAGGTCAGAGGGGCTCCACCTTGTCCAGGATGTACTTGTTGAGGTAGGGCATGTATCCCTGGCTGGACACAGGACCATCGTCATCGTCTCGGAAGTGTTCCTCCAGGGCCACAGGGTCGTGAGGGATGTTCAGGACTGTGTACAGGTTGTGGGACAGCACCTGAGACAGAGTGGCAATTTGCCTTCCTGCAGCCCAACCAACTGGGCCGAAAGACAGCTCCTGCCTCCCTGCTTGTCTCCACCCCTAACCTGGCTAAGTCTTCTGCACAGATTATTCAATTCAATCATAACTAAAATGTATGCATTTATATACAAAGGAATATTACTCAGTCATACAAAATGAATGAAATCCTGCCATTTGTGACAACATGGATGGAACTTGAGGGCATTATGCTAAGTGAAATAGGTCTAACAGAGAAAGACAAAAACCATATGATCTCACTCATATGTGGAATTAAAAACAAAAGGGAAGAAAAGGGGGCTCACAGATACAGAGAACAGAGTGGTGGTTGTAAGAGGTATGGAAGGGGACAAAATGGGGGAAGGTGATCAAAAGGTATAAACTTCCAGTTATAAAATAAGTCATGGGGGTATAACGTACTGTGTTGCATATTTGAAAGTAGCTAAAGGAATAGACCTTAAAAGTTCTCATCACAGGAAAAAAATTTTGTAACTATGTAAGGTGATGGATGTTAACTAGACTTATTGTGGTGATCATTCCATAATATATACAAATATAGAATTATTACATTGTACACCTGAAATTAATGTCAATTATACCTCAATAAAAACCAAAAACTGAAAACTTACACACTTACTATGCATTAAGCACTGAGCTAAGCAATTTACATATAATTCACTTAACCCTGTAACAACTGTTAATAACCTCATTGCACAGATGAAAAAATCCCCTAGGCTCTGAGACATTAAGTAACTCACTCAAGGGCACAGAGCTGGCAGAGCTGGGATTTAAACCCAGGAAGCCATGCTCTTCACCGCTTCATTAGGCAGGTGTGTCTTGTTTCTGCAGACAAGGACGTTGAGGCTCAAGGGACTCAGTAACTTGCCCAAGGACCCATAGTGAGCAAGAGCCTGGGATTCAAATTCAGCTCTGCAGATCCCAAAGCTCAGGTGCTTCCTATGATGCTGGGCTGTCTGCAGGAAGATGGTCCGTTACCCCAGGGCAGAAGCCCAGCATCTACCATCAAAGACTCAGTGTCAGGCATGTGCCTAGAGTCCAGTGTTTCTGTTCCAGGAAGGGTGAGTGCAGTTTCAGCCACTGCCCTTCAAAGATGGAAGGGGGCTGGAAAGGACTCAAAGAAAGGTCATGAAAAATGGTCTGTGGGATGTGGAGGACAAGGCCTAAAAGGGATGGCAGCCATGATGGTATGGAGGGGAAACAGGAGTTGGTTAACAAACCTATGATATTAGAACAAAGAGTTGAAAGTTGAACAAGGAAATCAGGAACAAAATAAAATTGCCTTGGGGTAATTGTTACAGCACTCACTACAGACGGGGTGAATGATTAAAAATTGTCATCATGTGCTTTCCATAACCCATATCTAATCTCCACAATCATGATCTACAGACATTATTATCCCTGTTCTTCACATGAAGACACTGAGGCTTGGAGAGGTTAAGTAAGAGTAAGTGGCAAAGCTGAGGTTGGAACCAGGTATTCCTGGCTCTGAAGGCTGCCTCCCTATTATTATTATTGACCCTTAGCTTCATTCCCCAACTAGATAGTGAGCTCTGTAGACAAGATCTCTGTTCACCTTTATGTCTCACAGCACCTATGTCCTCTTCAGCATACCAAAGTCCATTAATAAATGCAGTATTTAAGGCTGCTTCCACCACTGGCAGTTAACCTTGGAATCAGTTCTTCTGAGGCAGAAGCTGACATCTCAGAGATGGCATGTATACCAAGTCTCCATTTCCTTATTCTCTTTTGTGAGAGGAGGGGGACAAAGGTTTGAGACTTCTCCCCAATGTTCTCCGGGGCCTCAGGTTCAACTCAGCAAAGTGGGAAGTTGGGGGCTCAGCAAGGGGGTCAGTGTTTCTCTCTTCCCTCACTTCCCTCTGGTCAGCTATCCCTAACCCCCACCCCAAGCCTTCTCCCATTACCTTCGAATTATCCCATGTGCCATCTTTGGTTTTGCCTTTTCTTGTTCTAAAGGACATGTAAAGTTTCTTCCTGATGAACTCTGCATCCTCCCTTATTTTGGTAATGGAGCCCTGATTTTCCTTTGAGAAGTACCTCTCCCCCATTTTCAGTATCTCTGGTATTGGCCATTTGCACCCCTACCCAACCTGGCTGCAGAGGTGGGCACATTGGAGTCCTGGTGTTTGGTTCAAGGATGCACATGACCAAATCTGGGCCAATAAGAATCAGCCCTGAGATTTTTTGCTACCTCTGGAGGAGAAGAGGTATACTGTTTCCATGGGAGTGTTAAACTGTTAGATGGTAGATTCAGGTGATATTTTGTCCATATATGGGAAGTGCCTGCTTAAGAATAAAGCCATGAGTGAAAAGCAGAGTCAAGGTACAAAGAGAATCATAATTGGAGGACCTGGATCTAGTCATGCCTGAAGTCAATACTATGCATGGAGTTTGGTTATGCGAGTCAATAAATAACATCTCCCTTAAGTTATTTTGAGTTTGGTTTCTACCACTTATATCCAGAAAAGACATGACTAATACATCTGTGGTCATAGGATACCCCTCTCTAAGAGGTGCTCAATGTCTACCACATAAAATCCAGGGCGACCAACACAAGAGAAATTCCCACTTCTAAAGAGATGTTATTCTAAGAGTTTCACATATTTCCACTTGCTGTCTCCTGGCCTCTTTTCAAATTACCCATGTCTTCATCTTCCTTCAAGCCTCCTCAAGACCTCTTTGAGAAAGCTTCCTTCACAGCCCAGTCACATGGCTACACTCCAGTGAAGGGGGAACATAGAAGGCCAGGGACCTTCAACTTCTAGTTATGAGGCCTTGAATAAATTCCTTCACCCTCTGAGCCTCAGTTACTATTTTTTAATTAAAAAAAATTTTTTTTTTTGGTGGGAGGCAGTAACTAGGTTTATTTATTTGTTTATTTTAATGGCAGTACTGCAGATCGAACCCAGGACCTCGTGGCTAGGCAAGCACTCTACCACTGAGCTATACTCTCCTTCCCAAGAATTAGTTTCATTGTCAGTAAAACAGGGGATAATGCCCACCATGCAGATGGGCCGTAAGGATGGAGTGAGATGATACATATAAAGAGAGAGTGCCAGAGTTAGGTCTGCACAGAAAAAATGCTAGGTCTCTTCTTGTATTGAAAGTGCAATTTTTCACCTGACAAATTGACAAAAAGTCTGATACTATAGGGTACTGAGGAGGCTGTCGAGAAATAGGGGCTCAAATACCCTACTGTTGAGGTGTGAACTGGTAGTCTTTCTGGAGGGCAAGAATCTATCAAACTTAAAATTGGGCATGACCCCAGCATTTCTAATCATCCAACCTGTAGATGTTCAAGGGAACAGAGCTACCTGTACAAGAATGTTCATTGAAGCATTGTTAGAATATGAGGAATTGGAGCTAGCCTGAGGCTCCTTTGATAGGGGACAGGTACACTGTGAGTGGTTGAAAGATTTTATTTCTGCTACATGTGTGCTCAAGTGATTTAACTTCCCCAAGACCTTAGTCACCTCCTCTGTGAGGAAAATAAGGGGTCTGCTCCACAGCGTTTTTTAGAATGAAGAGTTTAGCACAGCACCTGGTACATAGCACCATGGTATAAATTTCTTAATAAAAGTTCTGAGCTACTGTTATTGTTATATTTGTATGAACAGAGATGGAAACATTGGTGTACTATACTGACAGGTGAAAAAAGCATGCTGTAGAATGAAATATTTGTAAAATAATATGTGTGCAAAGATTAGGTTGAACCATATCAAACTGCTTTTCTAGTAGGTCAAAACCACCAAATGTCAGCAATTTCACATAGTTCAAACTAATATGTTCATTTGTACACAGAAAAAAAATCTAGAAGACTCAGTAAATTGTTAACAGCTGACACCCCACAAACCCTCCCCAGTGAGGGGAGGAACTTTCACCTTCTTTAACACTATTTTTGTTTTTGAATTTTTTTAACCAGTAAAACATGTTTTACTTCTATAATAAATTACAACTTCTTTGAAATTATATTCTTCTGCACCAGGAGCATATATTGTTTTTACAAAAAATTTTAAACTATAGAGATAAAAAGCAAAGGGTGCCATTAACCACTGTTATTAATGTACCCTGTTATTAAGTTGCTCTGTAATAACATTCTTCTTCTTCCCTGCTTGTGTGAGCATTTCTGGGTGTTCTACATTCCTTGAGGGCAGCAAGGACTCTAGTCTCAACCCGGACTCCAGAGCTCAGTACAACATCCCTCACATGCTGAGTGTTTGTGACTGATTCCTCAAGTCTAACTTAAAACTCCAGTGGTTTCCCAGTGCTCTTGCGGTAAACTCTCAAGTCCTTCCAGAGATTTTACTCTATAACTTCTCTGATTGCATCCCTTTTGCTCACTTCTCTCCAGACACTCTGGTCCTCTTGATATTCCTCTTGCCTCAGGACCTTTGCACTGGCTATTCCTTCAACCTAGAACATTCTTCTCCCAGGTCGTGGCATGGCTTATGCTTTCTCCTCCTTTATTTAGATGTCACCTTCTCAGGGAGGGCTTCTCTGACCACTGTATTTAAATCTGTAATCCCATCCCCTCTACCCCTCCCCACACTTCCTATCCCCACTTCTGCTTTATTTTCCTCCATGTCATGTATCATCTTCCATCACATCATGCATTTTTTACTTATTTTATCATCTGTGTTCTCTGACTAGAATGTCAGCCTCACAAGGGTAGGGATTTTTGTCTGTTTTATTCACTGCTATATTACTGGGTCTGGCATATTAAATAAATATCTGTTGGGAGGATGGGCATAGCTCAGTGGTAGAGCACATGCTTAGCATGCATGAGGTCCTGGGTTCAATCCCCAGTACCTCAATTAAAAACAAGAGAAAAAACAAAACAAAACAAAAAATATCTGTTGAATGAACTTAAGTGTTTCAAGGGGAGAAGTAGGAAAACTGCAAGTCAGATGGACAGGAACTGGTTCTCTCTAAGCAAATCAGCCTCGCTGGACCTCAGTTTTCAAACCTTTAAAAATGAAGTTCAAGGAGATAATTTATAAATCCCCTTCCACTGCAGGATAGAACCTGATACCCAGCAGCACACAGTTATCTGCGCAGTCCCTTGTCTTGGTTCACAGGCCCACCTTGTCCTTCAGACCTTCCTCACATGTACCTTTTGCCAGTGTAATCTGAGGAGCCTGGGTAGAGGCTCTGACCCCTGTAAGCCATCAAGTGTCAGGACAAAGAGGAATTAAAGCCTCCAGGCAGAGCTCAGGGTCTCTCCCCAGAGAGCTCATCCGACCTGAGATTGCCAAGCTTCCTGTGCCTGGGTGTGAGTGGGGGCTGGGGGCGAGGAGAGGGTGTGTCCAGAGGAGGGTCACGCTGGAAAGGAAACGGGCTGGGGCCAGCATGAGCAGGAGCAAACCTGCTGATTTCAGTCAATCCTCAGCCCTGGAGGCAGGGACTCTCATTATCCTCCTTTTACAGATGAGGAAATCAAGGCTTAGAGAGGTGAACTGTTTTCCTGTTCAAGGTCTGACTCTAAAGCCCTACTCTTGATCTCTATGCTACACTGGCTCAGATTAAACATCAGAATCACCTGGGGAGCTGGTTGAAACTGAAATACCCTGGGGCCTACTGACTCAGAGTTTCCAGGGGTGGGGTCCAGATGTCTGTAGTTTTCACAGGCTGCTATTTGGGCTCCCCCAAAGAGGACTCCTAGTCTCCCCCACCCACCCAAGCAGCCTCTGACCTCTGGGTTGGCAGTCTTTGACCTTTGAGAGGCGTCATTTATTCGCCATTTCCTCTGGAGGCATGTGGGGGAGTGGTTCTCCCCTGGGGGCTTGGGAGTTCCCTAAAAACTCAAGCGCAGGGATGGGATGGGTGCCAAGACCCATGGTTTTGTAGTTCTCAGACTTTGGGAATAGATGCAGATACAGAGGGTTTGGGAATCCATGAAAACACCAAGCAATAACTGCAGAGAATGACTGACTAATCTCTCTCTCCTAGATGGTCTATAGTCTTTAAACGTGCTTAGGTGCTAAGTGATTCTTTCAAAGTATATAGATCCTTTTAAGGAGTTACTGAACGTATTTTTCTCAACCAGCAGGTACTAAAGCAAAACTACTATCATGAGGGAGGAGCGCCAGGAATTTTAAAAGGTGGGAATCTCTGGATTAGCTATATGCCTGCAGAGAGCAAGAAGGGGCTGGAGGGGTTGGGTGTGGGCATCAAAGAAAAGACAGAGGCTCACAAAAGGGAGAGGAGAGGATGCATCAAGTATCAATTTCACCCACTTGATGTATTTTGTTAAAATTTATTTTCCTAGGCTAGCTGGATAGCCCAGGTCAACTCTTAAGCTTTACAGATGAGAAACCAGAGGTTCAGAGAAGGGCAGTGACTTGCCTAAGGCCACCTTGCTAGGCAGCAATATAGGTATGGCTCTGAATTATGTGCTCTGCACATCACTGAATCATCCTCCCCTCCTCCCCATTTGAGCCTGAGGAGATCAGCAGCAAGTAGGGATCAGGGCAAAGCTTATGATCCCAGCCATCAGATACCTGGACTAGGGTGATAGCTGTTAACAGCTAAAGGCAGGGTGGGTATAGCTCAATGATAGAGAGCATGATGCATGCACAAGATCCTGGGTTCAATCCCCAGTACCTCTACTTAAAACAAAACAAAACAAAACAAAACAAAAACAGTTTGCTGAGTCTTTTAGATTTTTTTTTCTATGTACAAATAAACATATTAGGTTGCTAACATCTGATTGTTTGACCTACTAGAATAGCAGTTTGATATGGTTCAACCAAGGAGAAGGTTGTCCCTCTCCAGAGGAGGCAGAACCGAAGCTCAGAGACTCTCAGTGGGCAAGAGACCCTCCCTGGGCCCCAGGACTGCCCTGAATGCAAGTTAGAGGCTCAGGAGCCTGCGAGACCTTAAAGAGCCAAGTAGGGAAGGCCCCAGTTCACTTTCCCTGCCTTCCTCCTGCTCCTGCCAGCCAAGGGGAAGTGGTAGGCCTAAGATCCTCATGGAACCGAGACACATTGCTCCAACCACATGTCAATCTCAGGCTCCTCACTCCAGGCCTGGCAGTCAGGGAGTGAGGAAGTCAAAAATCTCAGTTGATTGCCAGTGAGGCCTAAAGTCAAAGCTGCTCCCTGAGGAAATTCATTATTTTAAAAGTTCCCCTCCCTGAAGCCCTCTGTCATGATCAGGGACTCACTCCTAAAGTTCTTTAGAGAGAGGTTTCTCGTGACTCTGCAAAAACTCACAGTCTTCACTCAACTCCTGAGAAGTTTTATGTTTAACCTAAATCCATCCTGGACAGAAGTGACCTATTTTTCTAAAATCAAAGGGACAAAAGCTATAGTACTTTCTACAAGATCAGAGAGGAAAATTCATCTGATGTCTCCCCTGAACCTTCTCTTCTTCAGAGAAAACAATCCTGACTTCTTGGGGTACTTCTCAGAGGACTTGCTCTTCTTTCTCCTCCTTCCAGCCTCATCATGGTTTTGCCCAAGACAGCCAGTGGCAGCCTTCTTACCAACACATCAGGGGAGAAGTGGTAACTGTCACAAACAGACATAGTTTGCTTTGGGCTGGTGCAGGTCTCCTGCCTCTTCCCAGCTGAAGGCCCCAAGGACAGGGACAGTTTTAGTGAGTACAGGCTAACCCCAGGATCTTTCTCTTTCTCACCAAGTCTTTCAGCTCAGGGGAGTGTGCCCTGCTGGTCTATCTCTCATCAGCTTCTTCTTCTGACTTCTGACCACTTCTCTATTGCTCTTTTGCCTTTCCGGTATCCCCACCCCCAGCACTATCACTACTTCCTCCCATTCCAGTATCCACCACTACAGACTTGGGGGAGAAATCCTTCTCTCCTATGACATGAGCCCTCCCATTTCTGCCCCACCTGCCGCCTGGCCTACTGCTAGACTCCCACTGCTAGCTCAGATTCCTAGACCAGGTAGACGAGTTTTCTGTCAAGTGAAGGAGAAATCTAAGGCTGCTGGCAGTTGGCTCAATTTGAGCTGTGATGTGGTACAAAGACAGCAGATGGTCCAAGGATGCAACCTGTGCGGTTGGTGAACAGGCAACACCCCAGTTAGAGGGCAAGACAGAGGCTCAAACTAAGCTTTACTGACTGATGGGACCAGGAAAAGGGGAACCACCCTGAGTGCTGTACCCTCCATGTATAAGGGCATACAGAGCCTGGAGAGGTCGTAGGGGCCTCAGGTAAAGGAGATGTAGAAAACAGAGTCTTAGAGACAAAAAATTACAGAGATTGGGGCTGTTCCTGAAAGATATTAAAAGGGCAGAGAGGGAGTTTCAGCAAGGATGGATTTTGGATAATCCACTTTTCTTTTACCTATACTGAAGACCTCATTTTATTACATAACCTGTAATAAAATGGTTTAAGTAGAATGTAAGGAAGAATCTGTCTGTTGGGAGACTCTCCCAGATGATGGAATGTGGTAGTGGACTCTCCTCCTTGGAGGAGTCAGGAATCATTTATTGGATGCTCACAGGTCTGGCTAAGGGATAGATTATGGGATAGGACCAGTTTGGGACATTCTTTGTGTCCAAGTTCAGCAAAGCAAGGGGTTGGAATGGGGGTGGGGCACAATGCCTATCCTGTCTCATTCATCTCTCCTAAATTTCCTCCTAGCTTGGTCTGGGGAGACATCAGCAACCTATGGCCTAGCCTTAGGGCAGGCACCTGGTTGTGCTCAATAAATATTTGTAGAGTGAATGAATGAACCCTTAAGGAAGGTGGCAGACGACTGAGGCCTACCCTATTCCTGTCTCCTACAGTTCCCTGGCTCCAGTGGCCTAGAGCCTTGCTTCTTGCCACAAACTAGGGTGAAGGCAGCACTAACCCAGCATGGGAGAAAAGAAGGAGAGAAACTTTTCCGCCTTCTAGGGATTATCTAGGACAAACTAATGAACTTTAGGGCAATTACTGATGGGGCTCTTCCTGGGCTCAGATTCTACCCCTTCCTTACTTGAGGTCTGAAGGCCTAATGTAAGTTTCCCAACCTGGTGTAGGGGTGAGGAGGATGGTGAGCTGGGCAGCAGTATTATGGGGTCTTCAGTCCTTGCCCCTTGCCAGCTCTGTCCCACCTGGGAGGCAGGGCTCAGAGGAGCTACCCTCCTGCTAAGGGTGACCCGGCCGGCCTGGTTTGGGACTGCTAGAGGTTCTTGAACACTCTCTCTCAGCTCCGAGAGGAAGTGACTGACAAGTACTAGCTAACTGTAGTCTCTCTTCAAAGCCAGGAGGAAGCAGCAGGAAGGAGTAGGGTGCATGCCCAAGCTTGATTTGGGGAGACGTGTGCTCATCACATGGAGTCTGGGATTAGCTTGGCCCGTGGCCCTCAGAACCCTGTAATGCCACCTCCACTTTCCCAACAGTTGTGGGCAAGGGCTCTGGCTGATGGCTCTGCACATACTCACTGAGGCCTCTGGACAGTGAGCAGCAGCATCCACCAGGTAACGTTGCCCGTTACCCAGTACTGGCCCCCCACCCCTCCTGGGCCTCTGGACAGCTGGGTGCCCTGGGAGAAGCAGTGTTCATGCCTAGCTCCCAGGCAGCAGGAGCTCATGAGGTGTGTCTGCTGGCCTCCCTTACACCCCGCGTGCCCCTCACCTTGAGCTGGGACTTGGAGACCTTGCCGCTCTTCTCCACGTCCAGTGCGGTGAAAGCGTACCAGATGGACTTAAGCAGCTCCTTGCGCAGGGCCATGGCTGAGGCGCCCGCCCAGCCTGGGCGGCTCTGACACCAAGATCCGGTTTCAGGAAATGCAAACGGCTGCAGAGACCGCAGAAGGGCCATGGCGGAGCGAGAGCTCCACCTGCCTGCTCATTCGGGCTCCCCGTGCAGGCAGGAACCGGCCTGTTGATGGAACCAGCCTTTTGCTCTCGCAGCGTTCAGTGGCCCCATTCCCTGCACGGGAACTGGGGACCAAGCCCTGGAAAGCTAGAGCCCCAGTTTTGTTCAGCCTGGTTTCCTGGGGGTGAGGCTCTTTAGAAGCTTCCTCAGCCCCAGAGCCTTCTGGAGCCTGCTGGGCTCCCAGAGGCAGCTTGCTGAGGAAAAAGCAGCCCATCCAGACTTGGGTGTCTGATAAAAGGGAGCAAATCCTGTACCAATCCCACATGTACCAGGCGGGAGGCTTTGGTTAAGTTACTTAACCTCCTTTGAGCAATTTCTCATTGGTAAAGCAGGAGAAATGTCCATGTCATAGAGTTGCAAGAAGGTCTGAGAATGGCTGTAAAGCACAGAGCAGGCACTGGAGAAAGCATTTCTTTTAAGGCCATCTGACATTACAGTGGTGGTGGGGCTCCTTCCGAGTGGAAGAAAGATAACACAAAGTTGGAAGAGGAACTGGGCCATGGTGCTTCTCTGGGTCAGGAGGACTTGGCAGGTAGAGGATCGGCTGCCTCCCCATCCTCTGGGCTTTAGCTTGAAAAGGGACCCAGAGCATTGCCCACTCTGGCCTAAAGACCTGGAGACTGTTTCTGAGGCTCATGGGGGTTAGCCTAGTGGTGGGGCCCAGTTTCAGGGGCGCTGGGAGTAGGAGGAGTAGGAGGCTGGGGATTCAGGTTCCTCCGCATCAGTGCTTCCATTTCTTCAGATTCAATACCTGTGAGGACTGGGGCATATCTCTGCCAGGAACAGTGGTCATGGATGTTGAAGGAGCCTGCTTAGGCAATTGAGACACCCCTCCCTGGGGGCATGTCCCAGCCCCATGCTTCCAAGGAACTGGTAGCAAGAGGGAAAGGGAGCTTGCTAGGCATCCTAGGAGAGGATGCCTGGGTTAGGGGAGAGGGTTCCAACCCCAGGGTAGCAGTAAGAGGCCTGGGGCCACATGTATCACATTACAGAGAGGAAAAGAGGCACCTCTAATAACTGCAATGTTCCCATGGGGTCAAACCCAAAGAGTTCTTTCCATCAAGTCCCTTTCCCTGTACTTTTCAGTGGGGTCTTGATTGTAGCTTTGGAATTCCATAGCGTGGCCCCAGACACCTAGATAGGTACCCCCAGAGCTCGGTGCCAGAGCCAGGACTTCAGTGCCAGGGCAGCAGAGGTATCAGAGACCCTCAGTATCTTGGCAAAGCCACCCCAACCCCTACTCCATGGGGCTTTGCCCACCTAGAGGAGCAGTGGACTCTGTGCTGTATGTATGGAGGGCTGCCTGTGTTTGGAGAGGCTCTGACAACATAACATAAGGAAAAGTAGAAAAAAACAGAGTTCCTCCAGCCCAACCATCTTGAGGCCTGAGATCCAATGGAAGCCTGTAAGCAGTGGTCACACAGGTCCTGTTTGGCACCCTGGAGCCCATCTGCTCAGCTGTGGGCAGGAAGCCACTGGCAGCTCCTCAGGGCTGATCTTACACCAGGGCTTCCTTCCACCTGTGCCCCTGGTAGGGCAGTCCTACCAGTCCAGCACTGAAGCCAAGTGAGGTCTGTGCCTGGGATACAAGGCTCTTAGCCTTGCCACCAGGGTCCCAAACTGAACGGAGGCACCCAGGTGGAAACTTGGAACTTTTATTAAATACTCATTCACCCATTTGCCACCACCATCCAGAGAAGGGGAAAAAATAATCAAAAATGGAATTAAAAAAAAATTACACCCAATCCCCAGTATGTACAAGGTTGCTCCCTGCCTCTCTGCCAGAGGTTGGGGAGCAGCTGGGGGTTGGGGGGGGCTGGGCACCTTTTTTCCAGTCATAGGCCCCTGAGCAATTCTGACTATGGTGGCAAGAAGTCCCTGCTGCCAAGTGGCCAGGCATCTTGGCTGGCCTCCGGGGAGGTGGTTATTGCTGGGAGGGGCAGGGCTGCGCTGCACTGCCCCTACTGGGCTGAAGAGCTATCTGCCTTCTCCCCTGGTGGGCACTGACCAGTTGGAGTGGAGGACCAGTTCCAAGAGCAGCCCTAATCGTCACCTGAGAAGGGGAGTGGACCAAGGGCAGGAAGGGTGTTTTCCAGAGGGAGGAGATGGCGCCCAGCTGATACTGGGGGGAAGGGAATCCCAGTGCAGCATGGTGATTAAGCTTGTCCTCCTTAGCTCCTGAGGATGGCACACTCCCCCGATTCCAGCTGCTTGGACCTCCTCTTGGGCAGGGCCTCTGTGCCCTTTAGGCCGTTTTTCTGCCACCGTCTTGCCCTAGAGACCCATGTGGCCACCTTCCACGTGTCAGCCACACCCTGGGCCGTTGGAGGCAAGGATGCACCTCCTCCAACACAGCGTGGGACCCAGCCCTCTTGGGCTCAGCAGCCACTCTCCGACTCTGTGGTCTCCAGGGTCACAGCCCTCTGCTGCATGGCAGCAGTGGCCACACTGATGGCCTCCTCAAAGGTCTGCTGCTCTTCCAGCTGTGGAGAAGGGGGTGGAGAAGTAAGGAGTGAGACCCTCCCTCCTAGATTCCAGAGGTATATGTGTATATGTGGCCTACTTTTCTGAATCTCCTCCACCCACCAAGTGCCACATATTTGAGCACTTAGTAGGACCCCAATAAACAGGAAGTTCACTGACAGAATTCTAGAATTAGGCTAGGCATGGCGAGGGAGCCATGGAATGGTCGAGAGGCAAAGACCAGTTTGCTTAATGACTGGCTCGAGTGGACCTTGGTAATCATCTACTTCAGCCTCCTTATATTCCAGGTGAAGAAACAGGGACATGAAAAAACAAAGGACTTAAAGTACCAGGTAGATTGCCATCAAAGTTATTCTGAAAGTTGGAAGGGGCTTCACCAACCTGCCTTAGTCAAGAAAGAGCCAGAGACAGGTGTGTGGATGCAGGCAGAAAGGGATTTGTCCTCTGAAATGGGCTCTTGTTGAACCAAATGCTGTTCTCTTCAAGATCGCCATCTAGTTCCCCTCCCCTTCTTGTTCCTTTCTCCTAGCAGACCTCTCTCTACTCACCTGCACCGCAATGTGAGTTCCACTGGCTGTGGCCAACAATGCCACCTGTTGATGATGAAGGGATGCTACACTTGAGTCCTCGGCCACCACAGTCCCAGAGGTAATGATTGTGACCTGAAATACAGAACAATGAGGTTTTCCAACCCACAGACATTACTCTCCCAATCCCCAATCCAAAAAAAAAATCCCTCCAAGCAAGGTGGCTGGGAACAACCCAGAAGGAAATGCATAAAACCGTTATGGGTCAGATTAGGGTCAGATTAATTAGCCTGGAGCTCAGAGCTAAGGGAGGTTGTATTTTTCTTTAACTTACAGCCAATTTAATTTAGTAATTTTGAATCACAGAAGGACAGACCTGGAAAAAGCTCCAGAGATAATTTAACCCCCTCATTTGAAAATGGTCTAAAGTCCATGGAAAAGTGACCTGTCTATGGTAGCAAAGCAAATTGGGGGTAGATGGGAGATTGAGAAACTGCCTCTTGACTCCCAGTGAAATGTTTTTCAACAAGGCAAGTCACTGATGGCCCATAACTGCTGTAGGGAAGACCCTTTATGTCTTTATGTGGGAATGTTGGTCCTCATAAGAAGGCTTGACTAATTCAGCCTGCACTTTAAGGCCCATCCCACAGAAAGGAAGGATGAGAGAACAAGAAACCCCAAGCAAACCGCCTGGTCATACGGGCTGCGTCTGGGTGCCATCGGCGCTGACCATGGTGACTGTATGAGTGCCAGATGTGGCAAGGTCATCCTCATGGCTGGGGATGGTGAGGGTGGTGCTCCCATGCTGGGTCACCATACTGATGGCACTCCCCAGGGCCTGCAGGTCTTCTGGGGACAGGCTGACCTGCCAACAGGAAGGAAGAAGATGATCTGGGAGTGCAGGGGACGGATGTCTGAAAGCCCCTAGGCAGACACATCTGCTCTCCCAGACCAGCTTAGCTTATTGGTAAGCTAGAAGATCAGCATCATGTCCCAGGTGTGGAGGGGGTCAGGACACTCAAGCAAAAGAGGCCCTAGGCTGCAAAGAGGGGTTACACTGCAAGAATTCTGCTGACTACTTCTATTCACCATCACTTTGCTTCAGGGCTCAGTTCCATTCAATTCATGATCTCTACCTAATTTCATCCTCATGTCAACTCCAAAAGGCACAGGTGCTCACTGGACAGTGAGCGTGCCGACAAGGATCAGGTTACACTGCCAGCTAGAAATCCCAGGCTTCCAGACCCCACACCATGCTCTGGCTCCCATACCAACATGCCTCTCTGAGAAGGAAACCTAAGTGTCTCATTCAGATGATCAGGACCTGTCAGCCTCTAACTACTAACTGTGCTAACTCCACTAACTGTGCTCCAGAAGTCCCAGAGACTGAGGTGGATGCACGAGGAAGATGGGGGCCTGCATTACAAGATTTGGTACCCTCAGTCTCAGCTCTCTGCGATCCATAAGACTAAAAAAGACAAACTAGGTGGAGATGAGGCTGTCAGAACTTTGGGGTTCCCCAGAGGGAGTGGGAGAGGGTACTAGCCAGACTGACCCACCCCCACCCTACCCCCAAGGCCTGTACCTGCTGGGCACCATCCTGAGTGATCAGAGCCACCTGAGGGGCCCCCTCCTCCTCGGTCACCATAGCCACTTGGGCTGGGATGTCATCACCTTCTTCTTTCACCTCCGACAGGTAAGCAATGCGGGGTCGTTTGGGTGGCGGGCTCTCCTCAGCTGCAGAGGCGGCTGGGAGAGAAGAGCCCAGGCTGACACCTGCCACCAGGTGGTCACAGGGAGGCCAGGCTTGTCTCCACCCTCACCTCCTGCCCACACCCCTCACCCTCGAGCTGCTGTTGCTCATACAGGGCCTGCTCACTCTCCTCCGTGGCCTCCAACTCGCCATGGGCGCTGCGCTTGTGCATGGCCAGGGTGGAGGTCTGCCGGTAGGTCTTGCCGCAGGTGCTGCAGGTGTAGGGCTTGCAGTGTGTGTGTACCACGTGGTGCTTATACAGGCTTGAGTACTCGGTGAAGCGCTTCCCGCAGCCTGGCACCGTGCAAACGTATGGCTTCTCCCCTGGGGACACTGGGCTGTGAGGGTGGTGGGAACTGGGGCTGGCAAGGGGAAAACTAAGGGGACAGGGATGGGGAACAGGGTTGGTGAAGGGAGAGCCAGAAGGAGGAAGAGGGACTGAGATCTGGGACTCTGAATGGACAGAGCTGGGGAAGGTAGCCCGTGGAAGACAGAGGGGATGTGAGTGTGGGACCCTTGAGCCCAGAGACAAGGTGGGGAGAAAATGAGGGGACGGGGCAAGGCTGAGGCTAGTGAAGGGGCTGGTGGGAGGTGCTGGGGGCTTGTAAGGTTGAGGGTTATGAACAGAAGAGGCAGGAGACAGAGAGGGATGACTGATGTGTCAGGCGCAATGGGAGAGTGAGGGGACATATGCGTCTGAGAGGTGACACAGGAGGCTGAACAGGAACGTAACACTGGGGAGGGGGAAGGTACACAGGAGTCATATGACAGTGGATGAGGTGAGGAGCTGAAGATGACACTTCACTCTGCTTTTTCCCCATCAAGCCTGACCCTAGCCTACTCCCGGGAGCTCAGCTGGAGGGGGAGAACTCAGGGTGGATGTAGAGAGGTGACAAGGAGCTGAGAGGGCTGGCAATGCCTGTCAGATTGGACCTAACTGGAAATGGAGGAACAGCTCACTGCAAGTAAAAGAGTGGTTCTGGGGATTCAGCCCTGCCCACAGGCTGGAACAACCAGTAGGGAAGGGCTCTGGGCTAGGTGTGGAGAACATGTCTCAGGTCAGAAGCCTACGGCAGAAGGGGTTGAGCCCTCAGTGGGGGTGGTCCTCACATGCCAGCTGGCCCACCTGTGTGGATGCGCACGTGATTCTTGTAGTTGGTGGCGCTGGTGAAGCCACGGCCACAGTGGGGCTCGGGGCAGGTGTAGGGCCGCTCGCCTGTGTGGGTGCGCACATGTACCTTGCGGATATTAGACGTGGTGAAGGAGCGGCCACAGCCCTCAAAGGGGCACCGGAACGGGCGTTCACCTGTGGAGATGGGCTGTGTGAGGGGTGACTCAGGGAGGGGTCATGCCAGACAGGGAGCGGGGACAGCCCCAGGCTTGGGTCCAAGTCTGAATGGGGCAGGGAGGGCAGGGCCCAGCCCACCGGTGTGGGTCCGGACGTGCTTCTGCAGGTCTCCTGAGGTCTTGAAGGCCTTGCTGCACAGCTCCTCTGGACACTTGTATGGCTTCTCACCGGTGTGGGTGCGCACATGGCTCTTCAGCCCATATCCTGTCCTCGTGCAGGAGGGAGGGGTAAGAAGACCGCTCGGTGGGGTCTTATCCTCCACCCTCTCACCTTCCTAATGCAGAGGCTCTCCATCTGAGGTGTGTTCTGTGAGGCTCTAGACCTCCTTTGGCACAAGAAGCCTGTGTCTGCCTCTATCCTACCCCTGCCTGGGCAGATAAGAGGGGCTGGAGAAGCCCACTCTG